TGAAATGTTCCCGTTTCTAAGTCTGGACCTCATTTTATTTGATTTTGAGGAAGGACCTTTGGAAACGGGCTGTCTTTGTTCCGTTGCAGTAGTTGTGGTTCTGTCTAGCTGGTGTGAAGTCGTCCTGGACAGTCTCTCCGAGCACCGCGTGATGTAGGCATTCATTAGTGGGCAGAGAGCCCCACGCAGGCCGCTCTCAGCGAAGAGCCAACACTTGGGCGCTGTCAGACACGTGGGTTTATCCTGAATGCAGAATCCGCATGAAACGTTCCCTCTAGACGTTTATGAACACGGGAGGGGCGGGAGTGGAGATTGGCAGGGTGGGAGGGAGTCAGTTTAACTTATTTTATATATTACACAACACAGGGTAAATGACGTTTGGAATTAACGAAGCGTATAATCATAATTACATGGCTGGTTCATCATCCTATCTCCCAGATCACGCCTGAAATCAGCAAACATCATAATACATGCACGAGTCTTCGTTCAGCGGCTGTCTAGCTTGGAGTGAGTGTTCAAAAGCTTAACTCTCAGGGTGAGTAACCAGCTAGTCCTCCAGCAAAAAAAACAAATCAGGCCCTGACCAAAGGCAGTGCAGGATTAAGAGAAATTGCATGTATCTTCCGCTCCTGACTTCACAGTTTGGGGAGGTGGGATGACAAGCGGGAAAGCTGCGGTCCCCACGTGTTCCTCACCCACGGCAGCAGCGTAAGAAGGAGGGCCCGAGCCTGCTGTTTGCTAAACAGTGGCTGTGCGCCAGGGACTGTGCCAGTCTTGTCTGTGCCAGCAGATGGAGTGCAGTATTTTACACAGAATAGACTCTCAATAGGTGTTCAATAAATAAATCAATATTTGATTTTGAAATATATATGTATTTATACAAATGTATTGCTGGCCACCTAATGTGAAGAGCCAACTCCTTGGAAAAGACCCTGGTGCTGGGAAAGATTGAAGGCAGGATGTGAAAGGGATGACAGAGGATGAAATGGTTGGATGGCATCATCGACTCAATGGACATGAGTTTGAGCAAACTCTGGGAGTTGGTGAAGGACAGGGAGGCCTGGCGTGCAGCAGTGCATGGGGTTGCAGAGTCGGACACGACTGAGCGACTAAACAGCAGCAATACATATGCAGTGTGTGTATATTCATGCGTACACAGGTATTTAGAAGCACAGAGTAAAGAAGAAGGAATTTTGCATTCAGTGGACTTGGGCCAGTGCCTAGGTACCACATAATTAAATATATAGACTCAAGACGAGTTCTGTCACAGCTTTTCTTTTCCATCTTACTGTTGTTGATACTCACGGTCTCATAACTTCTACTTCACTCTAATAATCCTCAAGGAAGATCGTGTCATTTTCCTGAAAAAGCCATCTCTGAGCATGCTGTTGTTGTTCAGTTGCTCAGGCGTGTTCAACTCTTCATGACCCCATGGACTGCAGCACACCAGGCTTCTCTGTCCTACACAGACTCCCAGAGCTTGCTCAGACTCATGTCCATCGAGTCAGTGATGCCATCCAACCATCTCATCCTCTTTCGTCCCCTTCTCCTCCTGCCCTCAATCTTTCCCAGCATCAGGGTCTTTTTCAAGGAGTCAGTTCTTCACATCAGGTGGCCAAACTATTGGAGCTTCAGCATCAGTCCTTCCAGTGAATATTCAGGACTGATTTCCTTTAGGATGGACTGGTTGGATCTCCTTGCAGTTCAAGGGACTCTCAAGAGTCTTCTCCAACAGCATAGTTCAAAAGCATCAGTTCTTCAGCACTCAGCTTCCTTTATAGTCCAACTCTCACATCCATGCATGACAACTGGAAAAACCATAGCTTTGATTATACAGAAATTTGTCAGCAAAGTGATGTCTCTGCTTTTTAATATGCTATCTAGGGTTGTCATAGCTTTTCTTCCAAGGAACAAGTATTTTTAATTTCATGAGCTCCCTAGATTCAGATCCTATGGGCACACTGTACATCTTGATATTTGGCCCAGACCCCTAATGGGGATAGCGGGTCCTTCTCCTGCCTCTGGAAGGGAAGCCTGGCCAGTACCCTTGCAATGCATGGGCAGCCAAGCTGACCGGGATGCCATCTGGGGTCTTGCTCGCTGTGAAAGCCCAGCTGGCGTGGCTGGCGACGAGCTGCCCGGCGGCCCTTCCCATGTTCATCAAGAAGGCAAACACGCTTCCACTCATGGTTTACTGTGGATTTTGGGTTCTGGATATTTCAGTGTTCTGCAGACTAGCTGTGTAGCACTTTGTGCATATCTGTTATAATGGAGAGAGTGTGAACTCACCCTCTATATCCAGTCATAAGAAGCTAGTTCTCATAGGCCCTCTTTCCCATAATTAAAAATAGTAATGACGATATTTGTGTAGCACTACTTAGAGGACTGCTGTTTCAGTCGCTGAGTCATGTCCGATACTTTGCAACCCCATGGACCAGAGCACACCAGGCTCCTCTGTCCTCCACCATCTCACGGAGCTTGCTCAAACTCATGTCCATCGAGTCGGTGATGCCGTCCAACCATCTCACCTTCTGATGCCCTCTTCTCCTCTTGTCCCCCATCTTTCCCAGCATCAGAGTCTTTTTCAGTGAGCCAGCTCTTTGCATCTGGTGGCCAAGGTACAGGAGCTTCAGCATGTATATGTGTTGAATGCTTAGTCATGTCCGATACTTCAGTCCTTCCAATGAACACCCAGGACTGGTCCCCTTTAGGATGGACTGGTTGGATCTCCTTGCAGTCCAAGGGACTCTCAAGAGTCTTCTCCACACCACAGTTCAAAAGCATCAATTCTTCAGCCTTCTTCATGGTCCAACTTTCACATCCATACACGCGTACTCAGAGGTCTAGCAGGAATACACAGATACACAGATAGTTTGAGGAGGGGACTGTGAAGGCCTCAGGGATCAGCTGCAGGGGGTGAGTAGACACAGACGGTGGGGCAGGGAGAGAAGAGGTTCCTGGAGCCCGGCTGTGCTGGTCCGCTGGAACAGGCCTGGGTGGAGCAGACTTGCAGAAGCAGTATTCACTCCTGCCCACACTGACTCGGCGGACCGGAGCAACACAGAATAGACACCCCGCCTCTTTCTCTTTCGCTGTGTTTTCCGCTGGAGCCACCCTTGTTTCGTCTCTACTGGGCGAGAGGGCAGCGTCGCTGGGGTGAGACCACACAGGGCCGCCTCGCTGGGCGATGTCGGCAGAGTGCAGAGCGGGCCTGGGCAAAAGGCAAACAGGACATGGCCAGGACAGCTTTCCTTTTGTCTTTTCCCGCCTGGGTTCCCCTTCAGCTGCTTCGCTCCGCTCATTGTCACAGACTTCCGGAAAGGCAGCCGCCCCCTCTGCCCCAAGCCCCTGGAGCCCGCTCCTCAGTCCTGCGTGGAATCCGCTTTCTCTGTTTCTCTCCTTCCTTGGCACTTACATGGGCTCCCCTGGTGGCTCAGCTGGTAAAGAATCCGCCTGCAGTGCAGGAGACCTGGGTTCGATCCTGGGTCGGGAAGATCCCCTGCAGAAGGGAAAGGCTACCCACTCCAGTGTCCTGGCCTGGAGAATCCCATGGACTGCATGGTCCATGGGGTCACACACAGTAGGACACGACTGAGTGCCTTTCACTTTCACTTCACTTGTGCTTATGTATCAGTTTTTTTGTAATTACACTACCTGAAGAACAACCTTAGAATCCTAGTGGCTTATAATCATGTTTATCTGAAAAGACCGGTTTTGCATCTCCAGAGCATCTCTGATAGGTACATTTCCCCGGAGTCATGTTTTATTTGTGGTTTAGTGTGTTACTTTTTTCATCTAAATTTTTCTTTATGTGCTAATTTGTCTAGAGCCTTTCTTAAAGTCTTTTTATGAAAAGAAATTAGAAGGCTGTTCCTGGGAAGGCTTTTTCAAGTAATTCTAAGGGACCCAGGGCCTCCTTGGTGGCTCAGCTGGTGAAGAATCCGCCTGCGGCGCGGGAGACCGGGGTGCAGCCCCCGGGTTGGGGTGCGCTGGGGAAGGGAGCGGCTGCCCTCCACAGCGTTCCTGCCTGGAAAATTCTAACGCTCTCACCTTAGGAGACTTAGGGCTGGGCAAGCCCCCTCTCGGTGCTCCCAGAGAACCTGGAAGCCTCTTCTATCCTTAATCAGCTTTAATCTTAAGAAAATAGAAACGCTGTGTTTTCTAATGCTGACCTTGATCACGTGAAGACTGATCTACGTCCCGTCTCGGTGAGCGCTCAGTTGCTCAGTCGTGCTGACTCTGACTCCGTGGACTCTAGTCCGCCAGGCTCCTCTGGTCATGGGATTCTTCCGGCAAGAGCACTGGAGCAGATTGCCGTTTCCTTCTCCAGGGGATCTTTCTGATCCAGGGGTCAAACCCGCGTCCCCTATGTCTACTGCATTGCAGCGGTTTCTTTTCCACCAAGCCAGCTGGGAAGCCTGTGTCTCAGTGGGACCCGAGGCAGAACTAAAATGATCAGTGTCTGTAAATGGTACATCGAGTACAGGTGTCGCTTTACAGCATCCTGCTTATCCAAGACCCAGGCAGAGGCCAGAAACCGTAGGTGGCACTGAGCCTTGTATGTACCGTGTTGTCCCCTAAATCTACGCACCTATGGGGGGCTTCCCTGGGGCGCTAGTGGTAAAGAACCTGCCTGTCAACGCAGGAGACGTGAGAGAGGCAGGTTTGACCCCTGGCTCGGGAAGACCCCTGGGGAGGGCGTGGCAGCCCACCCCTATTCTGCGGTGCATTCCATGGTGTGGGACACCACTGAGCGACCTACACACACAGACCTATAATAGAGCTTAATCTATTCATTAGGCACAATAGGTAACAACTAAAACGGATAAAAGAATTATCACAGTATGCTGTAGTGACAGTTATGTGGATGTGGCTCTCTATCTCTCAGAATACGTGGTTTTACTGTACTCACCCTTCTTATGAGGATGTGAGGTCATAAAATGTCTGTGTGATGGGGTGAAGTGAGCAGGGTGACGTCAGCCCTGTGAGGCAGTGTTAGGCTGTTGTAGACCTCCTGGACACGTCAGAAGAAAGAATAGCTGCTTCGGGTGACCCTGGGATGTGGAGCTTTGATGACATGGAGGGTTGGACGCCAGGAACATGTGACCACGACAAGACATTCAGGGCAGGACAAGGTTTAATCACACTACTCGGAATGGCAGGCAGTGTGAGTCTCATGAATATTTTACTTCTAGAACTTTCCATGTAATACTTTCACACCAGGATTAACTATGGGTAACTGAAACCACGAAAAGCAAAACTGCAGATAAGGAAAAACTACAAACTGTCAGTGAGGCATATTAAATTTAGAGCCAGTTATCATAGGTATCCAACAGGAAGTGGGCAATTAACTCCATGCCTTGATGAGGAGTATGTTACGGGACCCTTCTTCACAGAAAATAAGGGTTGCCCAAGTATTTGGGCAAAAAGAAGTTTTGTTGGGGCTTTAACTCTAGAGCAGGAAATTGCCAGGTGGCTCACTGGTAAAGAATCCACCTGCCAGTGCAGGAGATACAGAAGATGTGGTTTGATCCCTGGGTTGGGAAGATCCCCTGGAGAAGGAAATGACAGCCCACTCCAGTACTCTTGCCTGGAGAACCCCATGGATGGAGGGGCCTGGCAGGCCACAGTCCATGGGGTTGCAAAGAGGTGAACACAGTGAATGACTGAGCACACACACAGGAAATTCCTACCTTAGAAAACCCCAAAAGCTAAACTTGTGGGGGAAAAAATATAAGGAAGCATAAGGAAAACTAAGGCCCCAGTACCAAGGAAAGCACATAAAATCTCCAGATCAGTTGGGAACCAGAAAAGGGGGTTAAGGCAAAAATTACAAAGGCAAGAATTGAGAACTCTGGGGAAAGAAAAGGAGAAAGATGAGCGAAGGTTGTATCTTCTATAAATGTCCTTAAATACCAGAGCATCTAAGGAGCAATAAAGGTCTGATCCATTTACATCTTTAAAATATTGCATCACTTTAAACATCATAGTGAATTTCCACTCGAAGTATAAAACTCATGGTATAGATTGACGTTCATTTTTAACAAATTAATGCTTTTAACAAAAAAGTTTTCAGTGAAAATGTGTATTATACAGAAGACAATTATAAAATTTCTGAATTAAAAGCACACATACACGTAAATTCAGGGAGCAGTGTCGTCCAGTTTGAGGAACCAAATTTAAAGTTTAGTGCTCCCTTCTTTCAACCCTTCCGTGTCCCTCTGTAACTGAGTGCATGATCTCATTTGTGCCTGATGTTAGAGCCCTGAACTTGGGGCTTTTAATGTCTATGAAGCCTGACCCGAGTCTCCTTGTCATGTCTCCTCTGTCCATCCCAGAATGGATCTTAAAAATCACTGCTGGTAACTCATCTTTATCATCCCTCTGAGTTTGGCTGACTTCAAGGGTTAGAAATAATGCTATGAGTTTATAGGGCGTGGAAGAAAAAAACTGATTTAACATTTCTTGTGCATTGATGATAGGCAAAATGCCTGAGAGACATGTTTTATTAATGTTTTTGTTTGTTGGCATCTTTCATTGTTTTGCATACTAATCTTTCTTTGTGTTTTAATTTTGTCAGGACATGTGGTTTTCACAACCAGAGGAAGTCTAAAAAGGAAGTTTTGGCAAGTACCTCTTTAATTTGATGGTTGTAGACAGAGAGTATGAATAAATTGCGTTAAAATGTATTAATTATCCAATGTGGCAGTCGAATCAGTTTCAACAGGAGGTTGCCAGTGTTCTCCATTGTTTTCTGTTCAGCAGTCACAGCCCAGAATCATTTTCAGAAACTACAAAGCAGAGAACATTAGGAACATACCAAAGTTAGCAAAATGAATAGCAAGTGCTGTTTGCAGAACTTCTCCACTTAAACAGTTGCATTTATATTACTAATTCACTTCTTTGCAAGGACAGCCTAACTGAACATTGGAGAAAAGAAATTTGATTGCAGTAGTTTGGAAGGAAAGTAACCCTCCCTCGTTGCCTGGCGGTCCAGAGTGTCCCAAAGAGTCGGACACGACTTACGAGTAAACAGCAGCAGCAGCCCTCCAGCGCGGAGCCCGTCCCTCGGGACACCGTAGCACGCAGCCTAACGTCTTTCATTATTTTAAATGGGATTCATTTAAAATGTTGCTTTTAAATTAGTTCCAACAACGTACATTTATGACAGCTTTTGAAGTTAGCTTTTAGATCCCTAGAATGTTACATATTAATTCATATACAAAGATTCACGAAGGTGTTCCTCATCATCACAGCTGATATGAATCCTTATCACACACCTAACTTATCTTTTGAGGTATTATCCTTTTTATCATGAATTATTTTTGTTTACATCTTATCTACCAAATTTTAGTCTACATAAAGCATGTATTTGAAGGAACTCATAGCTGCAAGTGACAGAAACCCAGTTCCAAATAGGGAGTTTACTGACTCATATACCTGGAAGGCCAAGGGTAAACCTGCTCCAGGTAAGGGTATTTAAGGTGTAAATGTCCTTGAATACCAGCTTCCTTCTATGCCTGCTTTCTGGAGAGTTTTAATCATAAACGGATGTTGAATTTTGTCAAAGGCTTTCTCTGCATCTATTGAGATAATCATATGGTTTTTATCTTTCAATCTTTAATGTGGTGTATTACATTGATTGATTTGTGGATATTAAAGAATTCTTGCATTCCTGGGATAAAGCCCACTTGGTCATGATGTAAAAATATGGAATGCTTCACGAATTTGTGTGTTCATCACAGCACTGTTTATAATTGCCTGGACATGGAAGCAACCTAGATGCCCATCAGCGGATGAATGGATAAGGAAGCTATGGTACATATACACCATGGAATATTACTCAGCCATTAAAAAGAATTCATTTGAATCAGTTCTAATGAGATGGATGAAACTGGTGGGATGGGGAGGGAGTGGGGGGGGGGGATCGGGATGGGGAACACATGTAAACCATGGCTGATTCATGTCAATGTATGGCAAAAATCACTACAATATTGTAAAGTAATTAGCTTCCAACTAATGAAAATAAATGAAAAAAAGTTAAAAAATAAAAAAAAATAAAATATGTGCCCCTCTAATGCTAGGAATGGACTGATAATTCTGTCACTTGACATACACATATAAAGGAAGGAGAAAAACAATATTTTTATGCTTTGAGACAATATTTTTTCTCATTTTGATTTATATTCGACTCAAGATGAAATATTGTGGTAGAGTTATCATTTGTATACTTAATATCAAAGGAGATCAAACTAGTCAGTCCTAAAGGAAATCAATCTGAATATTCATTGGAAGGACCTATGCTGAAGCTAAAGCTCTGATACTTTGGCCACCTAATGCAAAGAGCCAACTCCTTGAAAAGACCTTGATGCTGGGAAAGATTGAAGCAAAAGGAGAAGGGGGCAGCAGAGTGTGAGGTGGTTAAGAAGCATAACCAACCAGTTGGCATGAATTTGAGAAAACCCAGGGAGATGGTGGAGGACAGAGGAGCCTGGCATGCTGCAGTCCTTGGGGTGGCAAAGAGTCAGACATGACTGAGCGACTCAACAACAAGAAGGAAGGGGATAAATATTCAGTCTTTTGCTTTCCTTCCCTTCTCCTGTATGCCTGCCCATGCTTCCTCAGGGGTATCCACACTGATATGCTTTGCATTTCAGCAGCCCCAGGAAGGTAAGGGAATTGTCATGCTGACTTCAGGAAGCCACCTGTTGGCACTATTTAGTTGTTATTTGAGGAGATAGAGGAGATCTAAAACTTCAGTTGTTTACTTGATATTAAATCTGACCAAGCATAGCATTTGTTTTTATACACTGACAATGAGATTACAGAATGTCATTTAGCTATGGGGCTACTGGAAAAAAAAAAAAATCTTGTAACAGTACCTTGATGTGTTTCCCCATCAGAAGTTAGTTCAGGTAGGTGTTCAATGAAGATATATGGGTGCATGCTGCGTGCTGAGTTGCTTCAGTCGTGTCTAACTCTATGTGAGCCCATGGACTGTAGCCCACCAGGCTCCTCTGTCCTTGGGGTTTCCCGGGCAAGAATGCTGGAGTGGGTTGCCATGCCCTCTTTCAGGGGATCTTCCCGACCCAGGGATGGAACGCATGTCTCTAATATCTCCTGCATTGGCAGGTGGGTTCTTTACCACTAGCGCCACCTGGGAAGCCCCTAAGATACATGCGTGAGAGTGAAAGTGAAGTCGCTCAGTCGTGTCCGACTCTTTGTGATACTGTGGCCTGTAGCCCACCAGGCTCCTCCGTCCATGGGATTCTCCAGGCAAGAATACTGGAGTGGGTTGCCATTTCCTTCTCCAGAGGATCTTCTCGACCCAGGGATGGAACCCAGGTCTCCCACATTGCAGACAGAGACTTTAAACTCTGAGCCACCAGGGAAGCCCAAGATATGTGTGTGGACAACACCAAATCCTATCCTTGTGTAGAGTTTGGGAAAACCAAGGACAGGATAATAGCAACAATGACAACAAACTCCAGTGTATTTTGCAAAAGGCTAAGAGGTACACTTTATGAAAGAAGCAGCACCTGCCAGGTGAGATATTCAAACAGGAGGTGATTGATCAAGCCAAGATCATGGTTTTTAGCTGTCACCCTATGTAGAAGTGGCTCAGGACAGTTTCACCAAAAAAAAAAAAAAAAAGAAAGCTCCTGAAGATGTAATTGTTGCAGGGAGAAATCAATTCTCATTCCATGTTGGAACTGTTTCTTTGACTTCCATTGCTTTTGTTATTACAATCACACATAATGGCCAGCCTCGGAGAATCCTGCCCTTCTGCCTGACTGTTAAGCTAACTTGCCACCAGTGGATGGCAGGAAGAAAGGAATTAACACATGCACCTGCTTGAAGGCTGCCATTCCAGGAGATACTTGCAAGATTAAAGGCCTTTTCACTCTGTTTCCTCACCTCCCCCATCTCTGGTCCATAAAAGAACTTGGCATCCAGAGCCCATAAGATGCCAGATCCCCCTCACTTTTATTTTGAGAATTAGTCTGCCATCTTCTCGGTCTAAAGTTGTATTCCTTACCTCAACGCCTCCTCTAGACCTGTCGTAGGGAGAGCAGAGTAAGCGCGGAGTCGGTAACATAATCAATCCAGCCTTAAGTACTATTCTCAAACATTATCTAGCTTTGAATATTTCAGTACTTTCCAAACATTTCCACAAATAAGACTCTAAGGATGGAGAAGAGCAAACCCTTATCTCTGAAAGGGGAATAGACTGAAGTGATGATGTTTTACTTTAAAAAGACATTAAATAAACTTTAAATATAAACATTTTATTGGTCAATTACACCTCAATAAAGCTGGGAAAAAGTAATTTACATATTTTATTGATCAATCCTGCAGTAGTGTCTGACTCTTTGTGACCCCATGGACTGCAGCACACCAGGCTTCCCTTCACTATCTCCCAGAGTTTGCTCAGACTCATGTCCATCGAGTCGGTGGTGCCATCCAATGATCTGATCCAATGATCTGATCCTCTACCACCCCTTTTCCTCCTGCTCTCAGTCTTTCCCAGCATCAGGGTCTTTTCCAGTGAATCAGTTCTTCTCATCAGTTGGCCAAAGTATTGGAGCTTCAGCTTCAGCATCAGTCCTTCCAATGAATATTCAGGACTGATTTCCTTTAGGATGGACTGGTTGGATCTCCTTGCAGTCCAAGGGACTCTCAAGAGTCTTCTCCTACACCACAGTCCAAAACCATCAATTCTTCAGTGTTCAGCTTTCTTTATGGTCCAACTCTCACATCCATACATGACCACTGGAAAAACCATAGCTTTGACTAGACAGACCTTTGTTGGCAAAGTAATGTCTCTGCTTTTTAATATGCTGTCTAGGTTTGTCATAGCTCTTCTTCCAAGGAGCAAGTGTCTTTTAATTTCATGGCTACAGGCACCGTCCACATTGATTTTGGAGCCCAAGAAAATAAAATCTGTCACTGTTTCATGTTTTCCCCATCTATTTGCCATGAAATGATGGGACTAGATGCCATGATCTTAGTGTTTTGAATGTTGAGTTTTAAGCCAGCTTTTTCACTCTCCTCTTTCACCTTCATCAAGAGGCTCCTTAGGTCAGGGGAAGAACAAGTGACCCGCACAAGAGACTGAGCCAGATCTGCCTGTGACCGTGTGCGGGTCTCCCGTGGGGTCAGCAGCAGCCTGCGTCGGGGCAGGCTCTGGTGGCAGCAGTCCTGAGGGCTCTGCGTGTGGCCTAAGTCTTCTAGGGGGAGATCACTTTAGCCCCAGTGCAGAGACGCTAGGTGGGCTCTGGAGAACCATTTTTCCAAAGAAGTTCTCACACTTGGAAAATGTCTAAGGCCTGCAAACGGACTGGGAATCCCCAGGGAATCTGACTTTGCCGGTCTGCAGGATTTGATTACAGAACTTCCACAGGACTGGGGAAATGGAGACTCCTGGAGGGCACAAACAAAGCCCCGTGCTCTCCAGGACCAGGAGGAAGGAGCAGTGAGTCCACAGAGACTGAGCCAGTCGTGCCCGTGAGTGTGCGGGAGTCTCCGGCGGGTGCCCAGGTGACAGCAGCCTGCCCCGGGGTCAGGGACGCTGGTGGCTGCAGTCCTGGGAGGCAGGGAGAGCTGCCCACGTCCTTCGGGAGGGGGCAGGCCGCACCTACCATCGTCCGGCCTAAGGCCAAACGGCAGGGGGGAGCACGGCCCCGGCCATCGGCAGAAA